TTTACCATTTCCGAAGCGATATTGAAGCATATTCCCAAACCCGGAAGGGTTTTTAAATATCGAACCAGCAGCCCCCAGAGTTTTAACGAGCCTCCGCTCGTTTCGTTAATGGGGTGGAGGCTGCTGGAGTGCTGGTGCATGGGAGCCAATCCGGCGCTCCCAAACAGTGCACCACCATGGGTCCGTGGCTGCCTGTTTTTGATTGGCCGGCGAGCCCTTTCAAAGCGGCTCCGCGCGGCCCGTAGCTTGCTGCAGAGGGCGAGGGAGTTTGCATTGGGTTGGCTTGGCAATGACTGCCTGCTAGCAACTGGGATTGGATTCATTCCTTGCTGCTGTGAGTGCTGCTTGCTTCATTTTCTGTCTCTTGCCTGTGTTTGGTCCACATTTGGGCCATTTTTTGGTTAATTTTCCATTTTAAAATATTTTTAATATTATTTTTTAATATTATTTTTTAATATTATTTTTAATATTATTTTTTAATATTATTTTTTACTATTATTTTTAAAAAATATTCTAAAAAAGAAAAGACTCTTCTGTTGGTGTGTGCTCTCATTTGCTGTATTGTGCCTGTGTTTGGTCCACATTTGGGCCATTTTTTGGTTAATTTTCCATTTTAAAATATTTTTTAATATTATTTTAATATTATTTTTTAATATTATTTTAATATTATTCTTAAAAAATATTCTAAAAAAGAAAAGACTCTTCTGTTGGTGTGTGCTCTCATTTGCTGTATCCTGCCTGTGTTTGGTCCACATTTGGGCCATTTTTTGGTTAATTTTCCATTTTAAAATATTTTTTAATATTATTTTTAATATTATTTTTTAATATTATTTTAATATTATTTTTAAAAAATATTCTAAAAAAGAAAAGACTCTTCTGTTGGTGTGTGCTCTCATTTGCTGTATCGTGCCTGTGTTTGGTCCACATTTGGGCCATTTTTTGGTTAATTTTCCATTTTAAAATATTTTTTAATATTATTTTAATATTATTCTTAAGAAATACCAAAAATATTCTAAAAATTCGTTAATATTTACAAAATTTCTTAAATACCAAAACTTTTTTTTGGAAAGTTTTGTAATTATTTTAAATATCGAAACAAAAAAACACCCCAATTACAAATCGATTTTAGAAACAAATTTTTTCTTGATCAAACAGGCCTAATATCCACATGTGGTGGCAATGCAAATATGTACAGAGTTTCTGGGGGAAAGTTATAGTAGAAATAGAAAGTATTATGAAGAAAAAAATTAATAGAAATCCAGCGACTATACTGTTATCTATTTACAATACAGATGAATGGAAGGAAAATGAAAAGAATTTGATAACAATGTTGTTAACGGCTGCAAGGCTACTAATAGCAAAATATTGGAAAGGAGAGGTGGAAATTAAGATAGAAGAATTTATCGTGTCATCAGCAACAATTGTATTACAATTCTAACAGAGCAAAACAAACACAGAGATTAAAAAGAAAAAAAAAAAGAAAAAAAACCACACAGATTTTGCAAATTTGGTATTTGGTTAAATGTCCTTTGACCAGTATCTGGCCACTTGGAGTGCCTCTGGGGTTGCCGCAAGAAGGTCCTCCATTGTGCATGTGGCAGGGCTCAGGGTGCATTGCAGCAGGTGGTCAGTGGTTTGCTCTTCTCCGCACTCGCATGCCGAGGATTCCACCCTGTAGCCCCATTTCTTAAGATTGGCTCTGCATCTCGTGGTGCCAGACCGCAATCTGTTCAGCGCCTTCCAAGTCGCCCAGTCTTCTGAGTGCCCAGGGGGGAGTCTCTCATCTGGTATCACCCATGAATTGAGGTGCTGGGTTTGGGCCTGCCACTTTTGGACTCTCGCTTGCTGGGGTGTTCCAGCGAGTGTCTCTGTAGATCTAAGAAAACTATGTCTTGATTTAAGTTGTTGACGTGCTGGCTGATACCCAAACAGGGGATGAGCTGGAGATGTCTCTGCCTTGGTCCTTTCACTATTGGCTGCTACTTCCCGGCGGATGTCAGGTGGTGCAATACCGGCTAAGCAGTGTAATTTCTCCAGTGGTGTGGGTCGCAGACACCCTGTGATAATGCGGCATGTCTCATTAAGAGCCACATCTACTGTTTTAGTGTGGTGAGATGTGTTCCACACTGGGCATGCATACTCAGCAGCAGAGGAGCATAGCGCAAGGGCAGATGTCTTCACTGTGTCTGGTTGTGATCCCCAGGTTGTGCCAGTCAGCTTTCGTATGATGTTGTTTCTAGCGCCCACTTTTTGTTTGATGTTCAGGCAGTGCTTCTTGTAGGTCAGAGCACGGTCCAAAGTGACTCCCAGGTATTTGGGTGCGCTGCAATGCTCCAGTGGGATTCCTTCCCAGGTAATCCTCAGAGCTCGGGATGCTTGTCTGTTCTTAAGGTGAAAGGCGCATGTCTGTGTTTTAGATGGATTAGGGATCAGTTGGTTTTCCCTGTAATAGGCAGTAAGAGCACCTAGAGCTTCGGAGAGCTTCTGTTCAACCATCTCAAAGCTCCCTGCTTGAGCGCTAATGGCACGATCATCAGCATAGATGAAACTCTCTGTCCCTTCTGGCAGTGGCTGGTCATTTGTGTAGATGTTGAACATGGATGGAGCAAGCACGCTCCCCTGAGGCAGGCCGTTCTTCTGTTTCCGCCATCTGCTTCTCTGGCCCTGGAACTCAACAAAAAAGCTCCTGTTTTGTAGCAGGTTTCCTATGAGGCGGGTGAGGTGGTCGTCCTTTGTGATATTATACATTTTTCTCAGGAGGAGGCGGTGGTTCACAGTATCATAGGCTGCTGACAAGTCTATGAAGACAGCTCCTGTGATCTGCTGCCTTTCAAAGCCATCTTCTATGTGCTGAGTCAGGTTCAGCACTTGCGATGTGCAGCTTTAAAATTAAAATAGAAGAATGGTACAAGGAAATTTGGAAATTAGCAATAAATGACAAATTAACATGCAATTTAAAGGTTAAAAAAGGCCTAAGGAAGGATAATGATTTTGAAAATATATGGAAAATATTTATTGAGGAAACATTAAGGAAAGAAGATGGGAACCAACCCTCACCAGAAGAAATGAGGTTCTGGTGGGAGTATAAAGAAAAGAAGAACTCCGGAGATGGGGAGCACAAGGGGGAGCACAACTGGGGCAAGGGAAAAAAAGTAATTATGTGAATTATAGAGATTGTTTTTGTAATGAAGGGAATATAAATGTAATAAAATTATTAGGTGTTTAGAAAAAAAGAGGAGAACAAGTTGAATTGCTGTAAAGAATCTGGCTTAAAGAAAAGAATGAAGTAGTTTTTGTTAAGACTTATACATCTTTATTTCCTACTTTTCTTTCACTATATTGTTCCACCTCTTCTTATGTATATAGCATTTCTTTTGTGGTTAATAAAAAAATTATTATTATTAAAAAAAAAATAAGGGCTGAGAACAGCGGTATATAAATAAAGCAAATAAATAAATAAATAAATATTTGTGCCAAATTTGGTCCAGTGAATGAAAATACATTTATTTATTTATTTATTTATTTATTTATTTGGGGTTCTTTTACCCCGCCCTTCTCACCCCGAAGGGGACTCAGGGAGGCTTACAGAAGCAAGGCACAATTCGATGCCTGCAGTACAAAACAATCAAGACATAAAATTACACAATTACACAGTTACATCACACTAGTTCATGCATTATATCAATAAAATCAATAAAATCAATAAAAAACCCATACCAACCCAATTCCTCTATTACATGGTCAGCGATCGCTAACTCATAGTTCTAGTTTTCCGTTCCACTTCATCAATCCTGTTGGTCTTATTCACCTGATTGTCTTATTTAATTGCCTGGTTGCCCAAAGGCCTGGTCCCATAACCACGTCTTCACCCTCCTCCTGAAGGAGAGGAGGGATGATGATGTCCTGATTTCCCCTGGGAGTGAGTTCCACAGGTGAGGGGCTACCACTGAGAAAGCCCTGCTCCTCGTCCCCACCAGGCTCACTTGTGAGAGTGGTGGAGTCGTGAGCAGGGCCTCCCCAGATGATCTTAGATTTCGTGGTGGGACGTAGAGGGATATACGTTCGGACAGGTACACTGGACCAGAACCGTGCAGGGTTTTGTAGGTCAAAACCAGCACCTTGAATTGTGCTCGGAACTGAACCGGCAGCCAGTGGAGCTGACATAACAGGGGGGTGGTATGCTCCCTGTATGTCGCTCCGGTGAGCAATCTGGCTGCCGCTCGTTGGACTAATTGAAGTTTCCAAACAGTCTTTAAGGGCAACCCCACGTAGAGCGTGTTGCAGTAGTCTATTCGGGATGTAACAAGAGCGTGGACCACTGTGGCCAGATCAGACTTTCCAGATCAGACATCCTGCATATCAGATATTTACATGACGATTCATAACAGTAGCAAAATTACAGTTATGGAGTCGCAACGGAAATCATGTTATGGTTGGGGGTCACCACAACATGAGGAACTGGATTAAGGGGTCGTGGCATTCGGAAGGTTGAGAAACATTGCACTAAACACTTGGGATGCATTTTGATATTTTCTGGTTCTGAGCTATAGAACCGAATGGTGCATATAATGGGAATAGAAAGCAGTTGCTTCTTCAGTCCTGCGGCTTGATTCAGAACAACTCTCAATTCTAAGCACAGTTTCTGTGTCACCCCATAAATAGTTCCACCCCATAACTTTTTGCTTACTTGCAAAATCTCCCAAAATTGGTGGGATTGCAAAGCACACGGCTGGCTAACGCTCGGAGAGTCGGCAATTCTACATTCGGAATAATTGCTCGCGCTTGTTTTGATACAGTCTTAATTCAATTGCAATGCCAATTTGGGCTTTCTCTGCCACTCTCCCCTCGAAAAATAAAAGTTAGTTGCTCAGCTCTTTTCATGCATCATTGTGAAATGATGTCCTAAATTTGCGGCAATTATGCGGCCCAGCAACAACAACAATTATTCATGTCTCTCTCTCTCTCTCTCTCTTATTTATTCTTTGTTTCCCCGGAAGCAGATGAAGTCATCGGATATTGACCAAGACCTGTTCACGGAAAGTTACTGCAAAGTGTGCAGCGCTCAGCTCATATCGGAATCTCAACGTGTGGCTCATTACGAGGTGAGAGAACAGCGGCGTGTCGTGTCAAGGGACAGAATCGGAAAGCCAGCCGTGCTTTGCAATTGCATTATAGTGGTTGAATTGCCTTTGCAGCCCATTCTTTTCCAATCTGAATTCCAGGGATGGCAGTCAATGCCTGAAATGACATAGGACCATAATACACAAGATTGCAGAGAAAGGAGGGAGATCCTGTACAGAGGAAGGAAAAGAATGACTTAGATGAAGGGCTAGAAGGCATGATCATCAAGTTTGCAGACGACACCAAATTGGGAGGGATAGCCAATACTCCAGAGGACAGGAGCAGGATTCAAAACAATCTTGACAGATTAGAAAGATGGTTGGCCAAAACTAACAAAAATGAAGTTCAACAGTGACAAATGCAAGAGACTCCACTTAGGCAGAAAAAACAAAATGCAAAGATACAGAATGGGGGGCGAGGCCTGGCTCGAGAGCAGGACGTGTGAAAAAGATCTTGCAGTCCTCGTGGACAACAAGTTAAACATGAGCCAACAATGTGATGTGGTGGCAAAAAAAAAAAAAGCCAATGGGATTTTGGCCTGCATCAATAGGAGTAGTGTCTAGGATCCAGGGAAGTTATGCTACCCCTCTCTGCCTTGGTTAGACCACACCTGGAATATTGTGTCCAATTCTGGGCACCACAATTGAAGAGAGATATTGACAAGTTGGAATATGTCCAGAGGAGGGCGACTAAAAAGATCAAGGGTCTGGAGAACAAGCCCTATGAGGAGCGGCTGGGCATGTTTTAGCCTGAAGAAGAGAGGGCTGAGAGGAGACATGATAGCCATGTATAAATATGTGAGAGGAAGCCACAGGGAGGAGGGAGCAAGCTTGTTTACTGCTTCCTGGAGATTAGGACACAGAACAATGACTTCAAATTACAAGAAAGGAGATTCCATCTGAACATGAGGAAGAACTTCCTGACTGTGAGAGCCGTTCAGCAGTGGAACTCTCTGCCCTGGAGTGTGGTGGAGGCTCCTTCTTTGGAAGCTTTGAAACAGAGGCTGGATGGCCATCTGTCAGGGGTGATTTGAATGCAATATTCCTGCTTCTTGGCAGAATGGGGTTGGACTGGATGGCCCAGGAGGGCTCTTCCAACTCTTTGATTCTAGATTCTAAGTCATTGAGTGTCCTCAGTTGATCTTTCCCTTGTGACAGTAGCCCTCTTGGGTGTAACTCTTCACTGTAGAGTTAGAGTAGTGTAACTTATTTGTCTTACAAAATAGCTTCTCAAATGGTGGGAGAAAGTTGCATTTTGAGAAGCTATCTTCAAGTCAAACAAGCTTTAAATCTAGACATCTCAATTCCAGGGTCTTGGATGCCCCAGTCCCACTTTGCAATGAGTAGACGCAGCCAATGATTTCCACGCAACCGCATGGCAATTAGAACTCTGGACACAACCTCAGTGACATCTCAGTGCAGCCAGAGCATTCTCCAGACAACGGGACCTTTCTAATATGTTTATTATTGTTCTGTCATTGTTAAGTTGGTTTTGGATGAAATGCCATTCACATAACGATATATAAAAATAATGTATACAAACTAGGCCTGTTTGATCAAGAAAAAATTTGTTTCTAAAATCGATTTGTAATTGGGGTGTTTTTTTGTTTCGATATTTAAAATAATTACAAAACTTTCCCCCAAAAAAGTTTTGGTATTTACGAAATTTTGTAAATATTAACGAATTTTTAGAATATTTTTTGTATTTTTTAAGAATAATATTAAAATAATATTAAAAAATATTTTAAAATGGAAAATTAACCAAAAATGGCCCAAATGTGGACCAAACACAGGCAGGAGACAGCAAATGAGAGCACACACCAACAGAAGAGTCTTTTCTTTTTTAGAATATTTTTTAAGAATAATATTAAAATAATATTAAAAAATAATATTAAAATAATATTAAAAAATATTTTAAAATGGAAAATTAACCAAAAAATGGCACAAATGTGGACCAAACACAGGCAGGAGACAGCAAATGAGAGCACACACCAACAGAAGAGTCTTTTCTTTTTTAGAATATTTTTTAAGAATAATATTAAAATAATATTAAAAAATAATATTAAAATAATATTAAAAAATATTTTAAAATGGAAAATTAACCAAAAAATGGCCCAAATGTGGACCAAACACAGGCAGGATACAGCAAATGAGAGCACACACCAACAGAAGAGTCTTTTATTTTTTAGAATATTTTTTAAGAATAATATTAAAATAATATTAAAAAATAATATTAAAATAATATTAAAAAATATTTTAAAATGGAAAATTAACCAAAAAATGGCCCAAATGTGGACCAAACACAGGCAGGAGACAGCAAATGAAGCAAGCAGCACTCACAGCAGCAAGGAATGAATCCATTAATCCAGTTGCTAGCAGCCAAGCCAACCCAATGCAAACTCCCTCGCCCTCTGCAGCAAGCTACGGGCCGCGCGGAGCCGCTTTGAAAGGGCTCGCCGGCCAATCAAAAACAAACAGCCACGGACCCACGGTGCACTGCTTGGGAGCGCCGGATTGGCTCCCAGGCACCAGCACTCCAGCAGCCTCCACCCCATTAACGAAACGAGCGGAAGCTCGTTAAATCTATGGGGGTTGCTGGTTCGATATTTTAAAACCCTTCCGGGTTTGGAAATGTGTTTTGATATCGCTTCGGAAATGCCAAAAATAACGAATTAATAACGAATTAACGAATTAACGAACGAAACCGCACAGGCCTACAAACTAGCACTCATGTAGGGTCCCCCTTACATGATTCAAGGCATTTAAAAAAACATAATAAGTTGCACACACTCACATCACTCGAACTGCCATGGCTCAATGCTATGGGATTGTTGTAGTCTGGTGAGACATCATCACTCTTAGACAGAGAAGGTAGCAGACTTTGCAAAACTACAACTTCCCTGATTATATAGCAGCGTTTCTCAACCTGGGGGTCACCAAGGACAATTGGAAAAAGTATGTTTCTGATGGTCTTAGGAACTCCTTTGGCAGAAAAGGCCGAAGATCTCTCAGTCTGTCCTTCTCTTCCTTTTTGGAAAGGGAATCCTCCCACCAAAAGCCCTCCTCCGTTGTCATTGGCTGACTTCTCAGCCAAGGGGAGGGCTGTTTCTGAGACTCCAAGCAAGGAAGAGAGAGCAGGTGTGCTCGGCGTATGGCAGTGAGGTGCGGTCGACTGAGAGCAGGCGAGGCTGGAGGGAGTCTCATGCCAGGAAGTCCCTTCAAGACATTGGGGTTCTGTGTGGGAGGTTTGGCCCAATTCTATCATCACTGGGGTTCAGAGTTCTCTTTGATTGTGGGTGAACTATAAATCCCAGCAACTACAACTCCCAAATGTCAAGCTCTATTTTCCCCCAAACTCAACTAATGTTCACAATTGGGCATACTGAGTATTCGTGCCAAGTTTGGTCCAGATCCATCATTGTCTGAGTCCACAGTGCTCGCTGGATGTAGGTGAACTACAACTCCAAACCTCAAGGCCAATGCCCACCAAACCTTTCCAGTATTTTCTGCTGGTCATGAGGGTTCTGTGTGCCAAATTTGGTTCAATTCAATCATTGGTGGAGTTCAGAATGCTCTTTGATTGTAGGTGAACTATAAATCCCTGCAAACCCTTCCAGTATATTCTGTTGGTCATGGAGTTCTGTGTGCCAAATTTGGTTTAATTCCATCATTGGTGGAGTTCAGAATGTTCTTTGATTGTAGGTGAACTATAAATCCCTGCAAACCCTTCCAGTATTTTCTGTAGGTCATGGGAGTTCTGTGTGCCAAATTTGGTTCGATTCAATCATTGGTGGAGTTCAGAATGCTCTTTGATTGTAGGTGAACTATAAATCCCTGCAAACCCTTCCAGTATTTTCTGTTGGTCATGGAGTTCTGTGTGCCAAATTTGGTTCGATTCAATCATTGGTGGAGTTTAGAATGCTCTTTAATTGTAGGTGAAGTATAAATCCCTGCAAACCCTTCCAGTATTTTCTGTTGGTTATGGGGTTCTGTGTGCCAAATTTGGTTTAATTCCATCATTGGTGGAGTTCAGAATGTTCTTTGATTGTAGGTGAACTATAAATCCCTGCAAACCCTTCCAGTATTTTCTGTAGGTCATGGGAGTTCTGTGTGCCAAATTTGGTTCGATTCAATCATTGGTGGGGTTCAGAATGCTCTTTGATTGTAGGTGAACTATAAATCCCTGCAAATACAACTCCCAAATGTCAAGGTCTATTTTCCCCAAATCCCAAAAAAAAAAAAAAAAAGGGGAAACAAAAAAAGAAAAAAAAAAAAAAAAAAACAAGTTGAATCATTGGTGAGTGAGAATCTCTTTTGTTTTGTAGGTGAAGTATAATCCCCCCTGCAACTCCTAAATGAATATTTGTGCCAAATTTGTCCAGATCCATCACTGTTTGAGTCCACAGTGCTCTCTGGATGTAGGGGAACTACAACTCCAAAACTCAAGGTCAATCCCTGCAAACCCTTCCAGTATTTTCTGTAGGTCATGGGAGTTCTGTGTGCCAAATTTGGTTCGATTCAATCATTGGTGGGGTTCAGAATGCTCTTTGATTGTAGGTGAACTATAAATCCCTGCAAACCCTTGGTGTAGAGGCTTTTGGGAGATGATTGTATCAAGGTTGGTGAGAAAAGGAAGGTTTGCTGAAAGACGATGGGATTAAAGAGCATAACATGTGTTTTAACTTCTAACCTTTCAAATAACGCTATGGTGATGGTAATGTGACTGGAGTGGGAATGGAAAGAATTCCAAACAGATGGATAAAACACCTGAACGCAATTGCTGTAGGTAGGACATGGCACATTACGTGATAAGGCTTTGCCGATTTATACGTTCTGAGATGGAGGCCAATTCACTAATGATCCATAATTTCATTTTGTCGTGCCTTTTATGACCCGCAAGGGTGCCAAATGGCAGTGTCCAAATCTTGCATGAGTCTAAGGTTCCAATTGAGAAACAATTATGGCTTAATATGCCGGACATA